GCCCCCAACGCCTCAATTCTGCACCCAGTGCCGCCCCCGGGTTGCAGCCACACCTTCCACCCCCAGCCCAGGCCAGTCCCCTCCAACCCAGCCTCCACCTCAACCCCAGACCAAGTCTGTACCCCTCCAACTCCAGTCTCAGTCCACAGGCATCTTCCTGCCCGACTGCCCCAAGGTTCAGCGGGGCGACTCCCCCCGAACTCAGCCCTGGCTCCCCACGCAGACCACGCCTCCAGGCCGCAGCCTGCCCAGGAGCCAGCCCCCGCCCAGACTGCACCCTTATGCCCCCAGACGTCAGTGACTCCGCCCCATCCCCCCAGTCCTGGGCCGCACCAGCAGCATGGCCACGAAGGCCACGGCCATGAGCACGCTCTCCACCACAATGAGGTTTCGGCTCCGCGGCAGCGACTTGAGGACCGTCTTGTTGAAGCCGCTGAGGATACCCTGGCTGTTGGTACCTGCGAAGCGATGGTGCGAGCACTGTGAGGCAGGAAGTAGGGCATCCTCTCAACTCAATCACAAAGAAAAACTTGGGCGGGAGGGAGGGGTTAAAGGGGACGGGCCAGGGCATTGCATGGGTTCCTTGCAGGGCAGTTTGGATGTGAGGGCCACTAGGGCTGAACACACTCCAAGGAAAGGAACGCCCTTCTCCATCCCCCTTCACCCCATCCCCCTTCCCATCCTATTGCACAGAGACTAGGGTTGGGGGGCGGGCGCCAGTGCATCCCCCACATCTATACATTCACCTTGCACTGATTGAGCTCTGAGGGTAGGACTTGACCCCAAGAGAGATCCCATAGGCAGCTTGATCCCAAATGGCACCTCCCCCAGTCAGCCTTCCCTGATACATCCCCCTCCCCCTCCCACTCCCCCCTTGCTGGGTCAGACTAAATACATACTTTAACAGGGCCTTGTACCTCGCCCACCAGAGCCCTGGACCCTGGACTTACAGCCCTGAACCCGGTGAGAGAGAGCATCCTCTGCCCTGGAGGGCCCAGTGTCTGCAGGATAACTCAATGGGGGAGGTGAGCAGGGCTTGGGGACCCCATGCCCACGAGGACTAACCGCAGCTGTGCACACTGCTCAGAGTGTGGTTCAGGTCATACAGGTAGTGATTCAGGAAGTAGATCATGGGCAGTTGGGCGCAGGCGAAGCTCAGCTGTGGGCAGGAGGCACGGGCATGATCTGGGAGGGTCTGGGCATAGCCTTGGGGGGCCAGGAGCCCTCCCCCCTCTGGGGTGGCCTGCTGGCAGAGGGAGGTAGCCCAATGCCAGAGGCCTTCCCCTTGGTCAGCACTGTGGACAGCCAAGGAATGAGGTTTTAATCACTTGGGGTAAGCAAGCAGGGGAACTAGAAGGCTGACAAGACTGGAATGGGTTCCAGTGTGTGGGCTCTCGGGCTAGAATACCCCCCGGGGCCCCGCGGGTGGCACTCACATGGAAGAAGCTATAGAAGATGGTTTGGAAGACTAGGAGATAGGGCGCGTGGGAGCCCCGCGGCGGGCGCTGCTGCGGGCCCTGCTCATCCCGCTCCTTGTAGTGGGAGTACTCGTAGTACTTCTGGGCCATCCTGGACCACAAAGGAGAAGGCTTTCCCCAGCCCAACCTCTGCCAGGCACCTCTGCTTCCTGCACCCAGCGCTGGGGGCTGGCCAGCCCCTGCATCTTATGGATGGGGAAACTGAGGCCCAGGGGGCGGAAGGGCCAATCCCAGGTCCTCTGGCCAAGGTTGGCAATGCAGCAGAGGTCAGCCAGGTCCCCAGCTTCCCACCCTGTTGTCCACCAGGCTCACCTGGTGATGTAGTTGCCCATGGAGGCCCAAAGAGGCACGATGGCCATGCCCAGGGCCACGGCTGAGGGCACAAGTGTGTAGTAGCGTTCCCAGTAGTTGGTGGAGACAAAGAGGGCATAGATGCCCACGCCCAGAAACATCATCCACTTGGTGCCAAAAAACCTATGGGCATTGAGAGAGATGCTGGTATCACGGGCTTATGGGGACTGCCAGGGCCGATACCAGAGTGCCCACAACTCTCCGTTCATGAGACTGTGAGGTGGGGAGACACCCCTGGCCTTGGAATCAAGGACTCTAAGAGAGAAACTCAGAGACAGGCACTTGCTGAGCAGCTTTGGGTGAGCCAGGCATCCAAACACCTGTATTCGAGGCTGTCATGTGGGCACAGAGCCCAAACCATGACTGTCTCCCTGCCACTGCAAGGATGGAAGGAGATAAGGCGAGGTGAGGGTGTCAGGTGTCAGGGGCTTGTGGGCACATCCAGCCCTCATGTGAGTTCTGGGCCGACTCACCAACCCCCTTTTCCTCATGTGCTGGGACTGCAGGGCCCAGGCACATGTCCAAGGGCCTGGACCCAACCGGGCTCAAGGAAACATAGGAGCAGAGGCAGGAAGAGGCTCCAGTGCTGGCCAGCACCTTCGTATCCCTTCCTCCCGGCCGCTGCTCTGGCCGGCCATGAGGTCATCAGGAAGGCTCCTCCTCCGTGGCTCTGAGACAAGGTCACACGTGTTCGAAGGGGCTTGACAAGCAACAGCTAAGGGCCTACTCAGGGCATGGAGGCTGCCCAAGCTGAAAACCACCCCTGGGATCTGTGTTTGTTGAGTGTGTGTGCTCACTAGTTCCCTTTGGTTTCCAGGCAGCTCAAAGGGAAGTGCCCCTGTTTTTCTGATACAATTACTTTCTCTTCTATTCCAGGGCCCTGGCTCACACAGCCAGCCAGTGGGAAATCAGCCTGGTAGTGTGGGCAAGGAGCAAGGATGGGGGTTGTGAGCCACTCTGCTCGGGTCCAAACCTTCCGTCTGCCACGGGCTGCCTGTGGGACTTGGGCAAGCGGTCCAATCTCTTGGCTTCTCCGTGTCTGAGCTTAGAGCATCTACCTCAAATGGTAAGGAATGAGGTGACGTTTATAAAAGCGCCCAGCACGTGGGACATGAGATGAGCTGGCAGCTGTTCTTAATAGTGATGGGTTCAAGAGCCATATAGCCTTTCATACGCTGGTGACCTTAGTAAGGGCCCTACTGGGAATTTATCCTGGAAACTTTCTTTCTTTTTTCATTTTATGAAGGAAACAGCTACAAAGCACAAAGTGAATGTGCAAAAAAGGAGAGGGCACCCTACCGGTGTGGCTCAGTGGTTGAGCATCAACCTATGAACCAGGAGGTCATGGTTCAATTCCTGGCCAGGGCACATGCCTGGGTTGTGGGCTCGATCCCCAGTAGGGGGCATACAAGTAACAGCCAAGCAATGATTCTCATCATTGATGTTTCTATCTCTCTCTCCCTCTCCCTTCCTCTCTGAGATCAACCAGTTTGGCTCAGTGGATAGAGCATTGGCCTGCAGACTGAAGGGTCCCAGGTTAGATTCCAGTCAAGGGCATGTACCTTGGTTGCGGGCACATCCCCAGTTGGGGGTGTGCAGGAGGCAGCTGATCAATGTTTCTCTCTCATCAATGTTTCTAACTCTCTATCCCTCTCCCTTCTTCTCTGTAAAAAAATCAATAAAGTATATTTATTTTTAAAGGAGAGGGTGCTGCAAGGTACAACTCTAAGCCACAGCTGGATGTCCACAACTCTGCAGACGATGCTATCATGACAAAGTGCCCCCTGGGAAGCAGGGGGCAGGCCAAGATGTGTGCAGTGAAAAGAAAGAAAGCAAAGCTTATGAGTTTCAGAGGGAAGGTGGGGTGGGGGTAGCAGGGTAGAGGGCGGGGGAGGGACAGTAGCGGGAACTTACATGCCTATATGCACAGCCCATGGACACAGACCAGTGTGGTGAAGGCCATGGAGGGGCGGATGGGGAGAAGGGAGCCAATGGGGAAAAACAGCAACAAAAAGGAAGGGACGTCTGTAATACTGTCAACAATAAAGATAAAGTTAAAAATAAAACAATGAGGAGTGAAGAAGAAAAAAAGCAGGAAAGTGAGCGTGGCTCACTGATGCTCTGGCGACAAGGCCGTGGGTGCCATCCACGCACCACGCGGGGGGACAACCAAGGCAGCTGGCTTCCTGGAGGGCTCGGGGCGGATTTTCCCTTTTCTGGTTTCAATTATGACTCTAACGCTGTTTGTGCAATTGTGATAAAGATTCTTTTTTAAGGATAAGGGAACTGAAACCCATCTAATTTGTCCACTGGTCTCTGGCCTGTCTGAGCACAGGCCTACCGCCCGTTGGATAACGTGTTTGTGGAGGGATTTTTGTAGTGGCCGGAGGCTGGGCCAGATGCCGCCAAGCTCAGTCTAAAGCAGCTCCTCTGGGGCACCTGCCCAGCCACGCCCTTTCCGTGAGAAAGGTCCCTCCACACCAGCCACAGCTGACTGGGTCAGGGGCGGGTGCCACAGAGGAAGGGCACTCGGCCAATGCCACATGGGTCGCAGACAAGCTGAGGGAAGGAGCTGAGTGACTTTCAGTTGCTTGTAATCCAATGTGTCCTGCCCAAAGCTCTTATTTCCGCCCCCAAACCCAGGCTTCACCCCTTCCCTCCCGCCCCTCCAGGGAGGCAAGGAGTCTCCCAACTCCCTGACTCCCAAGTCCACCAGGGCAGCCCCTGCAAGATCGGGGTGACAGCCCCGCCCGCTGGGGCCAGCAGCGCGCACCTGATGAGCACAGGTGTGTAGAGGAGGGCCGCGATGGGCGTCACGTTGATGCCGATGAGCATCTTGCTGTCGATGTCGGGCAGCCCCATGTTGCCATACTTCACCTCTCGGTAGGTCTCGTCGTAGTGCAGGATCAGCTGCATCTGCAGGAGACCTAGAGACAGGGGGCTGCAGGGGCGGCCTGGCTGGGGGCAGCCTCACCAAGCGAGCAGAGGCTGGAACACTTTCACCAAAGGGTCCCCTCATCCTGCGCCCTGGCGGGGCCTGGATGGAGGACGGAGGGGGAGCCAGGCTGGGCCAAGCGTCCTACCAGCCAGGCAGCGTCAG